AAGTTAGTCGGAATTCTCGAAACAGCAGTTACAGTACTTTAAGATTATGTCTGTGTACAGAATTAAGGAGAAAGTATTAGGACAAAAAATGAAGAAACTGAAACAATTTACATTGAAAGAAATGCTTAATAAGGTAAAAAAATAAATATTAAGCTTTTTTTTTTCTAAATTTTGTTACCCTTTAGATCATAAATGCTTCATTATTTCATAAATCACCATTTCATATTTTTAATTTTATAATTTCTAAATGCCATCCTACGAGATTTAAACTAATGATCTAATATCCGGAAAAATCCCAAATCCAGAATCACTGAAGTCCCGATTTCAGACTTTGTACTGTTATATATTATAATACAACAAATGACTTTAGGTGTCCTTAGCTAAAAAGGTTAAATGTATTAAAATTCAAGTTTACTTATATTTTATTTCTTTATTGAAGTTTAGAACACTGGTAGTTCGGTCCGAGGTTTGAATCCCACGAACGGGCTGGCTGCATGGGTGTTTTCGTGGTTTTCTCCATGTGTAATGTGTATACGAGCCAGTTTCCCTTAGAAAGTCCTCCATGAAGGCATTCCTCCCCTTAGGCAGATAGCCCTAGTGTGCTTTGCCGTAATTAAATACACCACACCACCTTTACTGAAGTTTAACATTCTGCTAATAATCAATAAAGATTATTATATACTTTTAAAATAATAATATACAGTAACAACATCGATATTTATATGTATACATTTGGTTCACTAGGCATACAAGGTAGTTGTATTTTTGAAATTAAACAGAATATGGCAAAACATGCCATATTTTTTAAACAGGATCATAAGCAAATCTTAAAAAAATGCACAACTTTCAAATCATAAGTTAGTACATATGCATGTTTCATTTGGTTTGAATTAATCGATTATGGCAAAAGCACACGAGATCTAGCTAAGTGGAGGACTTTCTAATGGGAACTAGCTTGAAAACATGCTACACATGGGAAAAACCACAAAAATACCCATGTAGCTAGCCTATTGACCAGGACCATAGACAAAACTACCATTATTCAAAAACATTATTGCTCGGCTGCTGGTAGGTTCATATATGTGCATGGTGATATATGTACAATATATACAGATGGAGGAAAAAATAATACGAACACCTGTGAAATGATGGAAAATCTTTATTAATAGAGATTGGACCATCCTTTGACTGAAGTACAGATTGAATGTGACGTGGGATAGATGCATAAAGGTCATGGACAATATTTAAAGGAATATTAAGCCATTCCTCCTGCAGAGCGGTCTCTGATTCCGAAAGTCCGGATGGAGGTGGAAATCGGGAATGAAGTTTGGACTCCAAATATGCTCATAAATGTTCAATAATATTCAAGTCCGAAGACTGAGAGGGCCAAGCGAGATGTTCAATTGCATCGTCATGCTCTTTGAACCATTCTTGAATACACCTAGCAGTGTAGATAGGGGTGTTGTTGTCTTGAAAAAGGTGGTCGCTTCCCAGGGAATACAGTCTAAACAAAAGGATGGACATGATCTCTTAGGATCCTTAGACGGTGATAGGATGTGATCCTCCCATGCAGAATAACAAGTGGCCCAAGACTACGCCAAGATATCGCACCCCCCCATGCTTCACAGTCGGCAAGAGGCAGTCAGGATCAAAAGTTTCTTTGGGCGTTCTCCAGACACAAAAGCATTTGGTCGTCTGAAATATGGTGAATGATGATTCATCTGACCCTATTACCTGTTGCCACTGCTGTGGGGATCAGTCTTTGTGATCTCTGCACCATTGGCATCGCTTGAAAGCATTAGTTGCTTTCACCAAAGGTTTACGAATTGCCGCTCTGCCATAAATGTTCGCAGCATGTAGTTCCCTTTTGACAGTTTTTGTTGAAACGGGGTCTGGAGATGACGGTTCATTCCGGATGTTATCTCGGATAATGATTGCCTGTGCTTTCGGGCTACTATGTGCTTCAAGACCTGTCTATCCCTATCAGCCAGCTTTGACTTTCGGCCCCTGTTGTGCTTTGAAGACGTCGGCTTACCCTCTTTCGTGTATGCTGTCATAACAGCTGATACCGTACTCTTTGCACATCCCACAAGATTTGCTTAAAAGCGCTCCAACTATCATTCCTCTTTGGAACTCTGACATTTCAACTTCTCACAGACAGTTCGATCGAAGCATGCAACACAGGTGACTGCTGTTCAGAGTCACCTGCATTGACCTTCCTCTTCACGCTCACTAAATGTCAGACTTCTGTTGCAGGTGGTGCGGCTGCATTGCAGATGTGAAATACATCATACTTTTTCACAGGTTTTTGCATTATTTTGTCCTCCATCTGTACGTACATATATGTACCTGTTCCTATATATGTACCTACGTATACATACATGTACCAGTTCATGTAAGTGCGTCTCATATAAAGAGAGTTCAGTTTGATTATTGCAAAGCACACAAGGGCTACCTCCCTAAGCGGAAGGGTGCCTTCGGGGCGGAGTTACTATGGGAAACTGGCTCATATCCATTTTACATATGTCAATCATCCCGGAAACGTTCATTCAGCCAGCCCACTAGCCCGGAATCAAACGCAGGTGAAACTATGAGTGTCAAGGAACTTCACCGCTTTGGCTGCTGGTGGGCCATTTTAACAGATTCCGGTTAAAGCTATCCGATTTAGAATAGCTTTTTCGCTAATCTTTAGAATATGGTAACAGGCAGTTTGGCGACATTTCGGTAGGCGATAAAGGTTACTACCTAAGACTTTGGCAATAACGTGAGAAGTACCCAGTTCCAATTATGGATTATTTTGTCTGAGAGAAATGAGAGATCATGAGATATGTCATGTGACATATATGGACAAATCACAGTTCTTTAATTGGAAAAATATCTGCAGTACTTTATAGCATTTTGTATTTAACTTCATTCTGTGTTGTGTGAAACAGTGTTGCTTAATTTTTGGATCCCATGGCCCTATCTAAAGTGAATTCGAAATGGGTATTTGGTGGGATTGAAAGGGGTAGTATTAAGTTTTTCTTTAAGGTTGTGCGAGATAGAAGTAAAGATTGCTTATTACGTTTTATTAAGCAGTATATTCTACCTGGTACAATAATAACATCTGAAGGAAGTTTATCCGCCATGCACTGAAGATTCTGAAGAAGATTAGGTAAGTCAGTATTTTTAATCATTTGAGGATACTATTTTTATGCATTGTTCTAAATATAAGGAATAAATAAATTAATATGCTATTATTGGAAAATTGTTACTAGCAATGAATTAGTTTAAAGTAATTAAGATTTTAAGCTAATTTTTATTAATTTAATGTATGTGTTTATTTATATTTTAAGTAGTGTTTTTTAATTTAATTATATTTTAATTATATGAAAGTGATTTTGTAAATTATATGTTTGTAGCATTTTGGAATACGTTTCAGTAGAAGTAAATGTGCATGGAAATAATTTAAATATTTGACACTAAGTATTTGCAACCATTTTTAATGTTTGCATTATAAATTCGCAGCTGACGTTTATAACAGATAATTTAGAGGGAAAAGTTTTTGGATATTTTATTTATTTTATACGTGCAAATGTTCATCCTTGGAAAGGGTATATACTTTTTCGCGATCAGGTAATTTCATATATGTCCTTTTTACCGACTTTAAAGATTCACAAAATTTTCGTGCAAATTATTGTAATTTATGAGAAAAAAGTAGTGTACATGAATAAAGTCAAGAGTGTGCTCGATGCCATTTTTGTGCAATTCTGGGATGTTTTTTTAAGTGAAAATAGGTCGACGTGTACATGGTTACCATGTGTGTGCCATTCTTAAAAATCCGGCAAGGAGTTTGCGATTCTGCACTTTCTAGCAATTTTGCAGTTAATATTCATGATGATTAAGTACTTTTGTTCCATAAAATTTCTAGCATAAGTGTCATTTGGCTAGCAGATTGTTGGAAAAAATGTTGAGTAAATAAAAAAAAAAGAAACCTGTCTTTACTTCGTGAAGACAAAATGGCGCTAAAAAAAAAAAAAAAGTAGGAGGTTGCTGTAGCAGGTTTGGTTGCCAAATTTTCGCCAAGTTACCATAATCCAAAGATTAACCAGCGTTTTCTTTTTAATGTCTGTAAATAATACACATGCAATGTCATCAATCTGATTAATGTAATAATATAATCCTTATATTTTTTAATTTTAAGATTTTTGTTTCACCCACATTTTGTTATGCTAAATAAGTTAAACAACATCCTTTTACAGCTAGATAATACAAAATACCACATTAAATGTTATAAAATACTTTTTTGCTGATATTTATCAATGAACTTTTAATTCTGCCTTCAAATAAAGATCACCAACAAAAAGGATGACCAAATGATAAGTGCACATATTTGGGATCAATTAAAAATATGAACAATGAGTGTGTTTGGGTGCAAGATGAAACATAAAGAAAGCCAAATACAATTATTGGAAAAGCAAAATACACTGAATATGCTTACAAAGTACAACTTTTTCACTTTATTTTAATAGAATGAGATTCTGTACAACCCTATCACATGCTGAACTACAACCAAACAAAATGCTTGGAGACCATACAATTTTATTTTTTAATTATTAACTCATATAAGCTTCAACAGCATATGAATTTATACCGACAGATCATATGCTGCTTTCTAAGCCATACTGCTGTTGCATTTTATTCATTTACAGCTTTAAAATGCATTTCTTACTTAAAGCAAGCAGCATTGTTTCCTTTCAAGCATGTTATCAGTGGGAAAATACCTCATCTAACATTTGATTATGAGATGCATAATTTGATTCATTCACATTTTTCCTTTAAAAAGTATTGACTTCTAATGAATAGCATACGGTAGAAGATATATACATGATTCCATTCAAATAGAATTTGTGTGAAAACGAATAAAATTATGTGTCAACACAGAACGTGGTTATGACATCTGCATATACTATCAAGAATGACAAATAACTGAACACTCCATTTTAAATAGTTTTTATTACCTTTATTATTATTGAATTGGGGACGTCTAGGAGTTGCTCTAGCATCCGTTTTTACTGACTTTTGTTCTTCGCAGTTCAACTGTTTATTACCATGTTTGTTTCCACGTTGGGAATTAGGAGTTTGACAGTCTTGCATGCCCTTGTTTGAGGAAGAAGGAATTTCATTGTTCGAAAATAAAACAGAATTATCATCTACATTATCAATATCTATTACAAGATCAGGTAATGCTCGACTCGATTCATTATCGGTCGCCATTCTCCTAGAGTCAACACATAACTTTTATGAAAGACTAACGTTTTACTTCAAAGGTGCATTTGAATACCTTTCTTCTATGCAGCTGTCTGCAATTCTAATATCAGTAGTAGTAGTTGTTTCTGTGATAGTGACCATTACTCGCAAAAGACTCATGGGGCTTAACATACAAATCAAAAATGAGAAGGTGAAATGGTATCGCGGAAGAAAGAAAGATCCTTTACGAAAATTTAATAATAAGGATTAACTTATTTAGTTTAAGGCTGTATGTCTGAGGAGAGGTATACTTTACTCAAGGAGGTTAGAATAGCCTCCTTGACTAAAGTCTATTCTAACCTATTTGACTTTAGCATCCTCTACGCTTGGGAACGCTTTGACGTTTACACACACACACACAGATCGTATTTTATTCTCGAGTGTCAAGATGCAGAAACATCTTTTTACTCGACTTCTGATAAGAATCAGGAAGGAGGGGAAAGAGCAGTGTGGAAGGAAGTGTGAGAGGCGAAAAAGAGTGTCAGGTGGCCTGCGTTAAATGAAGGAAGCTCCACTGTGTTTTGGCAAATGTGGCGAGCATATTGGCATCAATTTGTTTTGTTAGATGGGCGGTGCTTAACCACCAGGGTGCCTGGGCGCCATAGCCCTACCCCTCATCGAATAACATGATAAAAGTTTCGAATTATGAGAAATATAACTGAATGTGCTAAATAATTAAATGAGCAAGAGTTTAAATTCATAATTGCTAATAGTTAAATACATATTTTTTTCCTTAAGTACCTAATTACTAATCCATACATAATTAACTATTTTTTTAACAACTATTTCACAGAAGAATACATGTACACACAAGAGAAACAAAACAAAATACGAAGTGCGACGCCTTAGTGCCACTAGTAAAAACAAAAGCAATCAGGAGGAAAAAAGAACAATATACAATAAAGAATCTGAGCAACAATTTGCATAACACATATACAAAATTACACATTACTAACATTTAGGATCGCCCTTGGGCGTTTACTGAAATTGGGGTCCCTAGTATCATAACAATAGTTAACAACCACAGGATTGTCCAGAAGTTCCTGTTTATCATAAAATGCCCTAGATAGGCGGCAATAAAAATCACAAAGATCCTCTATTCTTAACTCTTTACGAATTTGGCTATTCCGAATGTACCAGGGGGCATTACATATCATACGCAATACCCCGTTTTGGGCAGCTTGTAACTGCCTTCTCAAACTTTTGCACGAGTATGCCCAGACGGGGCATGCATAACTAAGAATTGGACGCAACATGGTTTTGTAAATGAGCAACTTATTATCAATAGATAGAACACTGTTTCGAGCAATTAAGGGGAAGAGTGAAGCTTTACTAGCTCGAAACTTCCTGAGAATATGTGTAACGTGTGGGTTCCATGTAAGAGATTTACTGAGGATCACCCCAAGATAAGGGACCTGCTTGACCCAGGGAATGTCCACACCATACATTTGCAGGTGAGTCGGGAAATTCTTCTTAGTAGTAAACAGTATGGCATGTGTCTTGTCGACATTCACTTTGACTTTCCATTTGGTCAGCCAAGTCTCTAGCGAGTGGATGTGGTGTTGTAGCTGTTGTATTGCTGAACTAACAAATGCACTTTGCGTAAGGATCGCTGTGTCGTCTGCATACATGGCTAGTGTTGTGTTGTGTGTAGTGGGGATGTCGTTCACGTAAATATTGAATAGGGTAGGGCCCAGAAGGGATCCCTGTGGAACACCAGCCCGTATAGGCCGGTTTGTGGATAATGAACCAGAAACATGAACGACAAAGTGTCTACCGGTTAGGTAGGATTTAATTATGTTTGTGATGTAGCCTGGGAGTCCCAGGTTGTGTAATTTGTATATGAGGGCATCCAGCCATACTCTATCGAAGGCTTTGGCGACATCTAAGAAAAGTCCACCAGTGACACGATGTTGTTGCATCCCACTGCTTATTAACTCAACAACTCTGTAGAGTTGATGCGTTGTCGAGTGCTTACGCCTGAACCCAAACTGATAGGGTATGAGGATCTTCTGCTCATCCAGGAAGATGTTTAGTCTATGTAGAATAACTGCTTCCACGATTTTGCTAATTGAGCTTAGCAAACTGATTGGTCGGTCGGTAACTCTCAGGAGCAGTCGCAGGCTTGTTGGGCTTTAGCAGAGGGACAATCTTGGCAGTTTTCCAACAAGTTGGGAAGTATTGCCATCGTAGTATGATATTCACTAACTTGGTGAAGTAGAGTATTATCTTGACAGGGAAGTGCTTGATCATCTCATTTGTGACCCGTCTACTCCAGGGCTCTTCCTTTTCGCAATTCGCATGATATAGAGACAGACCTCCGATGGCATGGCTGAGATAATGTTGTCTGTGCATGGCTGTGTTGTAAAATTGGAGTGGAAGTCAGCAATAAGCTGTTCAGTGTCTGAGTCTGAAATGTTGTTAATGCAGAACTGAGATTCCAGATGCTGAGCTAAAAGTTCTGCTTTCTCAGTTCCGGTGTTGTAATGGATCCGTTGAGGGCCGTGAAGGGGCGGAATGGCGTTATAGCATTTTTGTACCTCTTCACTGCTTTCCATAAGGAGTTATCCTCTGCAGAAAGAGATCTGAGGTAGTTAGTCCAGCGATCGATCTTGTGAGAGTTTATTTGTGAAGAAACTTGACCGCTTCGCACAGGCGATTGAAGTTCCTTTTATCATCACGGTGTCTGGTGCGTTGATACGCTCGTCTTGCAGCATTTCTCTCTTTAATCAATAATCTGAGCTCTTGAGGCTTGTGTTTCATACCAGGTTTAACTTCAACTTGTGCTTTCGCATAAGCATTTTGTATATTTTCAGTGAGGTCCTTGACCAAACTATCAATGTCACTCCCCTTGTGTATCGTGGGTAAAGTGTACTGGGTGTTGGAGAGGGCTTTGGCAAAGACCTGCCAGTCTGTACGAAAGGCCCTGGTGTCTGATGTAGTATATCTGCTGAGGTCCAGAATAATCCTAACAGGATTGTGATCACTTGAAAGTTCGTCCAGTACGGAAATATCCAGTGGAGAACTGGTGTTCCGCAACAAGGAAAAAATCAATAATTGCGGTGGACCCAGCAGCATACCGTGTTGGGGTACTTGGAACTGCCAATTTAAACCGTGCCGACGCGGCCAAGGAATAAATCAGTCTGCCTGTTGCATTAGAAGTGTAGCAGTTCCATGCGCGGTGTCTTGCGTTCAAGTCTCCACCAATAATAACATGTGTACCAAGTGTGAGTAGAATTTCAAGGTCTGCCTGAACGACAGCCACAGGTCTCATGGGAGGAATGTAGGTGGAGACAAAAGTGTATGGAGTGTTAGTGTCTGTTGTGATGCAGATAGCTGTGGAATGTTCACGTGATAATGGGGAATGCAGCGTTTGACAAGAAGTGCAGTGCCACCTCCACGTGGGCGAGGAGCGGTAGTACTTCTGTGCGACTTGTAGGTATAGTAATTTGCCACACACAATGGTATTTTAGGGTCAAGCTTGTGTTCTTGTAGGAAAAATAAGTCGGGACTGTGCTCACTTGCAAAATCCCGCAATTCATTAATCTTACGGAACAAACCATTTGCGTTCCAAGTAATAATACTTAAGTACCTATTGTTTACACTATACATAATTATTCAACATTGGAAAAAACACTGTCAAAAACATTAAATAATATAAACAACTTATCGATTGAATGCTCCGCAGCCCGCAATTCAGGCATGGCTGCCGAGATTTTTTGAAAAACATTCATAACTGTGGTGCCTTTAAAAACATCACACACCTCTTTGATTATTTTGAGAAAGTCCATAAACATACCCGAACCAACAGTAGCACTAGCAGCACCACCACTGCTGACAGTCTGTTTATGCATATCAACATTAAAATTATTAACAGTATTTACAGATCTTTGAACGTCACCCTTGGCTACACTAGCATAACTGCGCCCGGAGGCAACAGCAGAATAACTCAAATTTGCATTAGAAGTACTAGGCATTTTAACACCATTTTCTGAGTTTGCACTCTTATTCACAGTTTTATTTCCGACTATGCGTCGGGGGAATTTCGGACATCCGCGATAATTGGCGGTGTGTCCTTCTTGCAGGCAATTACAACAAATAGGAGAGTCTAATTTTTAACATTACATTTATCAGTACGATGTGCACCCGCACATTTCACACATCTTGGTTGTAGTTTGCAATTTTCACTACTGTGGTGGAAGTGTTGGCAGTTGTGACACTGCACAACATTTCCACGCACTTTATAAGGATGTATTTCAACAAAGAAACATAGCAGTTTTTTAACATCATAAATAGATTGCACCCCTGGTACATTCTCTAAATGAACCTGAAACAAAGGCATAGGAGCCTTAGATTTGGTTCTGTGCATTTGGGTAACTTTTCGAGGTTTATACTTTAAATTAACCAGCTCCTCAAAAATGTCATCTGAGGGGCAATCGATAGGTAAACCTCTTATAACTATTTTGATGGGCCTATCCATCTTTCTGGTAATTAAATAATGATCTACACTTTTTTCATCCAAATATTTTGTTATCTGACGGTGATCATTTTCCGTTTTCGGAAAAACTTTTAAAAACTCGCCAGTAACTTTAGCTGCAAAGTCTAAATTAGTTTCAGCCCTCAATTTTTTAGAGAAATCCGAAAATTTAATTGGAGGCTTCACCATTATCGGTTTCACCTTCGGTTGTTGCATTTCAATAACCTCATTCTCTTCACTAACTTCCATATCATTATTAGTGGCAGTATTATCTGCATTAGCATTTTCACCTAGCTTATCAAATTTATTGCTAACATTAATTTCTGCATTAGCTTTGACTAATTTAGCAGGCCGAGCCGTATTACGCGGCTGTGTAAAGCCTTCTGAATCCTGAATTTCGCTCACACATCTTTTTCCTTTTTTCGAAGGCCGTTTAAGCAAAATTTTGTTGTTTTTCTCCGCTAGGAATTTGTGCAATTGCACCAGATTTATCACTAACATTTTTTACACTTGATATAGTATCATTACAGTTAACAGAATTAACAGTAGATATAACCTGCATCTTAGGGACATGCTTAACAACATTCACATTCAACTTATCACAAGATAAATTTACAATACTAGGATTTTGGGCACTAAAAACGTCGCACTTACCCTGAAATAACAAAGCCAGTCTTTTGGCTATTCCACTCCTTTTTTGGTGTATATCCAGACGTTTTTGCTTATCCTCCTCACTGGATAATGTATTGAGATCATCTTCCGTTAACTGCTCATCTACATGAACTGCAACATTCAGAAGCAGAACTTGCTGAAGCGCGAGTTGATAATCCTCCGCATCGTAACAAT